CATCTGGTCTAGTACTGTTAGCCAGATATATTAGTGCACCAATAACACTTAAATATTGTACTTTAAGACTAATTGCTTCCTCATTCTCCTCTTTTTGTCTAAAACGATCTTTAATAGGATCGAGAGTTCTAACGACCATTGGAGTACTTAACGAATATGCTTTATCCATTGCAAATCGTTTCAATACCTTCTACGTATATGCATATTGATGTATCAAAATTTCATTTTCCAAATGTTCAACTTGCAAACCAAGGCAGAATTTCGTTTTCCCAAAATCTTTAATTTCAAACTCCTTTTTAAAATATTCAATAGCTTTTTGAACCTTTTCAGGGGTTCCAATTAAATTTAAGATATCCACACAAACAACTCTCATCACAAAATTTCTCTTATTTTTCTTTATAAAAACACATGGGCAAACAGAATCATTGACATATCTTTTTTTCAATAATGATTCACTGAGATGATTATGCCACATGCGACTAGGTTGTTTAAGCCCATACAAAGATTTTTGTAATTTAATAGAATAACATTCTTTTGGATTTGATTTGTATGCATCAGGCATGCTAAATCCTTCAGGGATTTTCATGTAAATATCACTATCCAATAAGCCATATAAATAGTCAGTTACGACGTCCATCAGACGCATATCCAAAATTTCATGTACTGTCAAACTAACAAGATATTGAAATGTTATTCCATCAATTACTGGAGAATATGTTTCATTAAAATCAACTCCAACTCTTTTTGAAAAACCTTGGGCAACTAGTTTTGCTTTATATCTAAAAATTTCATTATTCTCATTTCACTTTCAAACAAATACCCATTTATAGCCAACAGGCTTAACACCTTAAGACGTTTGAACGATGGGTCCAAAAACTTTCTATTTTGCCAGTGAATTTAATTCAGACTGGATCGCATCTTTCCATTTTGATCAATCTATTCTTTTCCGACATTTCTCAACTGATCTAGGTTCTGGATCCTAGTCATTTTCCATTAGATCAAGTGCTACATTATATGCAAAAGCATTATCCATAATTGTATCATTTGGGTTCCAATGCTTTCTACTAGTAACATAATTTATTGAATTTTTAATAATTTCATTCTATTCAGAAGAAATTTTATTTGGATTAACATCCTCAACAAGTTTATCAGAATCAATTTTTTCAGAAATCTTATCTATGTTACTACTTGTTTATTGAGGGTTTTGATTAAAATTCAAATCCTCAATCCTTTCATTTGTTCATCTTTTCTTTCGATGATTTTTATCTTTGGAACTTACAGGTCTGCCACACCTTAGCCGTTTATTTGATTTATTAGCAATTTGTATTTTGTCTCCAAGAATAACAATTTTAGCAGGTACATTTTCAGCAGCTATATAAGATCTAGTGACCCTACTGGCGTCACAAAAAGCATCAGACAATTAATTTGCTATTCGCCGTAAATGTAAAATTCTTTGCACATCTAATTCACTTTGACTTGTACGAGAATCAAGAAAACTGAATGGTATTTTCCAAGTAATTTCCTTTTTCAGTTGATCAGTTTCTCCCCCTAATGTCGGAAAATGTGACTGTCAAAATGACAATCAGCAAAACAAGCCATAAACGAATCACCAGTTAATGGTTCAAGATATTTAATGATAGATAGTGATTCATACCCGACATATATTCCCAATTTTTATTAGAGGCCCATTTTTGTTCGTTGAGGTGGCGCAATTGGTACATAAACTGCGCACCCAAAAGTTTTCAAATGTAAAATATTGAGCTTTTCATTGTACACCAATTGTGCTGGGGAGTAGCTATTATAAATTGTCGGTCTTAATTTTATCAGTGTTGTTACATGCATAATTGCATGTCCCCAAACAGATACGAGAAGCTTATATTTCATCAACATAAATCTTGCAATTAATTGCAGCTTTTTTATAAGTGATTCAACTAGACCATTTTGAATATATAAATGAGGTACATGATGTTCAATGTCAATTTCAATTTCAATAGACATGCAATAATCATCAAATGTCTTAAATGAAAATTCACCAGCATTATCAAGACAAATTTTCTTTATTGGGTGATCTGAAAACCGAGCTCTTTTTTGAGCAAGCAACCTCGCAAATGCCAAATTGTGGGTGGATAATAAATACATATGCGACCATCTAGTAGATGCATCGATAAGTACCATAAAATATCAAAATGGTCTGCATGTTGGATCTACAGGCCCACATATATCACCCTTAATTCGTTCTAAAATGAAGGGGATTCAGTTCCCATTTTTGTTGGTGATGGTCTAGTTATTAACTTCCTTTTTCGAGCAAGCAACACATTTAAGCCCATTTGTATTTAATACCCTTTGATCTTTCAAGTTATGGCCATGGGTAGTTTCAATAATTCGTCTCATCATAGTATTAACAGGATGCCCAAACCGGTCATATCAAATCATAAAATCTGTAAACTTCTGGTCTACCAGATATGTTTCAACTGCATTAATATTTATGTAATATAATCCGGATGACAATGCAGACAATATTTCTAATATATATTTATGCACATCAATGAATTTTGTAATCAACAAAAATTCATTATTTGCCTCACTTGATATCTCAATATGATATCAATTTATACGAATATCATTAAAAATTCAACAAATTTCTTTAGGATTTGCTAGAATATAGTACATTTTGGATATCAAATTTTACTCATTTGAGGAGAAATATTATTGCACTTCCAGAGCCCTCAGTTAATTTCGCACAACCACTTATAGTATTCACCTCAATTTTTCCAACTTCATATTGGTGAAATATTTCTTATATTTCATAATAGTATGCGTTGATGCACTATCAATGAGACATGAATTGTCTTCCATATTATTCATTATAGCGTATTCAGTATTCATATTTCTTCATCAGAAATTTCGCAATATGCACATTCAGGATGCTTAATATGCATCTCAATATACACCATTAGAGGTTTTAAAATATGAATCTTCAGGGTTTTCAATATACATCATTAGGGATTTTCAAAATATAACCTTCATGGTTATCAAAATATGTACCTTCTGTGTACATCATAAAAAATCACACATATCATTGTGTGCTAATAAAAATATCAACATCACATGCATTATTTTCAGATAAATTCGTTTATTAAATATTGACATCTTTTAGTGTCATTTTTTCTATAAAAGCTGGTGGAAAATTGCAAATTTATGTTAGTAATAATTGTATTGAAAAAGTTAATTGAATAAATACCTCAAAATTTTTGCAGAATTTCGGCAGCACTTTGATATTTTTTTATTGTATTTGGGCAAAATTTTGAGATATTTTTTTCTTCTTCTTGGAATACAAATTTTGCAACCTATTTAAATAACTTAAAAAAAACATAAAAAAAATACGCTATTTTTACATTAGTACTTCATTGGCAAAGTCTCGTGTTGATATCGTATTATAAAATATATAACAAATAAATAAAATAAAATATTAATATATGTGTATGCATGTAACGTGTGGGTAAGTTAAACACACAATTTAATAGATATATAATGTATATGTAATATACTTATATGTAAAGAGAGATAGAGAAGAGATAGAGAGAGAGCCGACATATAGGCAATTAAGAAAATGATTAGTCATCCAATTTGCTACATGGCATTATTCTATAATGATACCTAATTATTAAGTTTGGCCGGGGGTTTACTCAGTGCGCACTTTCAGAAAGCGGCTGCGGGTTCTCACGTCATAAAAAAATAAAAATAAAATCTTAACACATTTCAAATTTTACTTTTATAATATCATGCCCAACAAATTTTTTTATATAAATTCAAATATTCAATACAATTACTTAGTTGTGTTTGTTTGAAGGATTTTGGAGGATTTCCACTATTCATCCAATTTTTTCCCCCCAAAAACATCAAATCAAACACCTATTTTTCATTTTTTATATTATACTAAAAATCAATTTTATATTCAAAACATCACATCAAACCCTATTTATATCACATCATACAACTATTCAAATTCAAAATTTTTACTATTCAAATCCCAATCCAAAATCCAAACCCCCAAACAAACACACGTAGAAGCATCAAAGAACTCATATTTATAGTAGATAAATGCAGCACACAGAAATTATTAATTCGGTCCGACTTTCAACTTGACTTACCTCGATAGTTCAAAATACAAATTTAAAAAGTAAAGCGTTCAAATTTCATATTTGTTTGATTTTGGTTCCAACCAAAATTAATAAGTATTATTTATTTTATACAATTTTTAATAAAATACATGATTCATCTTATAAAATATTCCATTATAATACTATTTAGATCAGAATTTATATGGAAAAATTCAAACTCAAGCAATAATAAGAAAAAAACTAAAAGAAAAAAAAAACTTGTTATACTGATTTTCTTCTTTTATTTTATTTTATATTATTTATATATATATCAACATGTACCGTCAAAGAAGCTTTAGGACCCATTACTTGCTACGGTTGAGGGAGCTGAGCACACGAGGATTTTTACTATTTAAATTTATTTTTTCTTAAAATAATATTATATTAAATTATTATATTTTTTTATATTATATTATAAATTTATTTTATATTAAAAAAATTATATAAATTTCTATTTATATAACATCAAACAATTGTTCAAATTCAATTTTTTATTATTCTAACGTATCCTAAATGTTAATTGTTAAACGTATATTTAGGCCAGCCAGATCGGATTTAACTAACAATTTTTGAGATTGCAGCAGGTGTTCGCGCATTTAGGGCTTTATTTGTATATAGGCTCAGCTAAAGTAGGCCCACAAAATTATATTAGCTTTCTTTATTAATGGGCCGGGCTACAATTGGACCATATAATATAGCATTAAAGATTTCCCGCCAACAGGCCCATATGTTCATATAATGTGAGACATCCACGAATTGTTTGGTGGGCAATCTCCAGTTGTGAAGTTTGTACAACAATCGGTCTTTTTGCTTGAAGCTTTGCTGAATCCGGAGGTGAAAATATCTCGTCATTTCGTCTGTGTTCTTTGGTTTTGATTTCTCATTTCTTCGTTTGTTCAATTTCGTAATTAGCGGCTACAATTTGTGAAGTGACCTTCGATTTTGATTGTTTTCTTTTTGAATTAATGAAAAGAGAATCGGGGTTTTGTAACTCATTCCCAATTTTGTTAGGTGGTGTTGGTTAGGGTTTCTACTTTCTCGTATTCGTAAGTGTTTATTGCCTTTGGTTCTGATTTTGAATTCTGCTACTGTTTTAGTTTATTTGTTTGTGCTGCTGCTGCTGTTGCAGAATAGAAGTTCCTGAGAGCGAATAGCGTATGGCGGCTGAAAAGGATGCTTTTTTTGTTGTACGGAAGGGGAATAATGTTGGAGTCTATAAAAGCATAAATGATCTTCAATCCGTTCTTCGATCTTCTGTAAATTTCTCTTCGTTGTTGTTTTCTGTCCCTTAATCCTTTGTTTCTTTAGACGATCTCTGTTTCAAATATTTTCCTCATTTCGGTGAAGCTATCCCTAATGCAATTGTGTTAAAGTTCTATTTATTTTCTTAAAATATGTGTAATAGTTTCGTTAATTAAGTTTCTATACAAGTATGGTTTATATGTTCCCTTAATTTAGTTCTATTTTACTCATTGCTTGAATGATAGTCTTGGCGTGTAGTTAGTTATGCTTGTGCCTACATGTAAGAGATTAAAAAGGGTATGCTCGCCCATATGACGTCGAAGACGTGGGGGGCTTTGAATCTAAATCTTTTTATGCAATAAATGAAGTGTATATAGGTAAGAGATACAAAATAAAAGGCTGTGATTGTTAGTTTCTATTAAGATGGTGATTGATTTAAAATCTTGTAATATAGGTATGCCGGTCGGACCGGCATTGAATATGCGAAAATTCAATTTTAGGACATGGAAAATTGAGAAGATTGTTTAAACAAAAATAATTATCAATATATTTTGAGCCAATTACTTCTGTTTCTTATATTAGACTTAGAAATAGCTCGATTATGCTCACTGGAGTTCTTGGATTCATTATTACAAATTATTCCAGTCGTTATTAGGTTGTAAAAGTCTTTACATTTGCAGATAACTTATGTGAGGTGATTTGTTGAAACACTTTTTCTTTGTAGATCAATGATCCTTCTTTAAGTGTCTTCAAGGGGTATGGCTTGTCCAAAGAAGCTGAGGAGTATCTCTCGTCTCACGGGCTCAAGAATGCTATTTATTCAATTGACACCAGTGACTTGCATGATGATCTTTTTGGGCAACTTAGTATTTGTCCTTATCGGGTTAGGTTCTGTCCGTTATCTTTAAAAATTAAAAGATTTTGAATCTTTCACATCATTTAATTCTATGTCGTTGCCATGTAATGATTGTAAGTGGCAATATTTAGCACAGGGGTGACGTGTTTTTTCTTTTTTCTTTTTATTTTTATTTTTTTTCAGGAACCGAATTCAGTGAAGGATAAATCATCTGGCAAAAATCATTCAGATAAAAGGCCACATGTAAGTTTCCGATTGACTTACTTTTAGTTGCAACTTGTATCATTGGTGACCACGCCCACACATTTATTACCCTACTCGAGCAGAAGTAGTACCTTTGACGCTTCCTTGTATTCTCAAAAGGTTTACTACTTGTCATGTCTTTTATGCGCGGGCATTCCCCACCCCACCCCCATGATTTAATGAAAACCAAAACATTAGTTGATATTATAACTGTCCTATGACAGTGACTAATATGGAAAATTTAGGGAATGTTCTTTTGTCTATGTGTATATATATATACTATTAGTCTATCATTTTCTTTCCAAAATTCGATATCCAATACCCATGTTTCACACAAAACAATACATCCAACAGCTATTGTCATCTAAAAACATCAAAGCAGAAAATACAAAACAAGAACAAACACACAAAAGAACACACCCTTAAGAGTTTGAAAAAAGTCCTTGTGCCCACATGTGATGATGTGGAAGCTTTAGGTGGGGAATTGTTTAATATAGGGGTAATTTTGTTTAAAATGCTAGTGTTTGAATTCCAGTGCTGGTGGAGAACTATGTACGACAAACAGTTCTTATTTTCCTTTGTCTTATTATCTATCGATTTCTCAGCAGGACGTAGTTGGATCAGCTTCATTTGCAGCAAATCCTCAAGTGAAGCATGCCAAATTAGATAATTTCCTTCAAGGTCCACCAATTTCTTCCTATTGCGTAAGTTGCTTTCTCTTTTCTCTCTCTCTAAAATATGTCGTTTGTTTATATAGGATAAGATCTCGCGTCAATTAATTCATGCTTCCTATCTTGAAGTAGTGTTTATTCTTCCCTTATTCTTCAGTAGGCCTATGTATTTTAGTTCTTATTTCTTTCCTTCAATTAGTTATAACTTCATATCTTCCCACATTGCTATACTTGTAGATATGCTAATATGAAAAGGTGTTCCTACTCCTACATTATCTTATTTTCCCATTCATTTACAGACTTCATGTATTGTTGAGTTCGATGGTGCTTCAAAAGGAAACCCTGGACAAGCTGGTGCTGGAGCTGTGCTACGCACAGCCGATGGAAGCATGGTAAGTTTGCTTGCCTTGATATCAACCTCTTTATGGTTTCGGTTTTTATTTTCTCTCAATCAAACACAGAACACTCAGTACTGTCAACTATAGTTTCTGTTTGACATTTTTTTATCTTTATTGGGCTCTTGCCCCGAAAAATAGACGGGTCTATTTGCAATTTTTAAACCCTTAGAAACTGTTTCGTTTGGTTCTTGACGATTCTCTTGAAAGTGAAAAGCCTATCTAATATTGTTTCCTACACTCGATAGGTTTTCCGATTGCGAGAAGGCGTGGGCATTGCTACCAACAACGTTGCAGAGTACCGAGGTGCAATTCTAGGATTAAAATATGCTCTTTCAAAAGGGTTTAAACATATACGAATTCAAGGAGACTCTAAACTCGTCTGCATGCAGGTAATTTATTATATAAACCAAGCATAGTCTTTTTCAAGCAGTGCATCACTTTTTCACTCAACAAATTTTTACTATCCTCGATACAATTACTTTACACAATGCCTGTGCTCTAAAGGTTCAAGGTTTATGGAAAACCAAAACACAAAACATGACTGAATTGTGTAAAGTGGCTAAAGAGCTCAAAGATCAGTTTGTATCTTTCCAGATTTGTCATGTCGAAAGGGTAAGTTGGAAAATGGAATCAATTTCTCACGTATATCTGAAGCATTACATATAATGATCATGTTCCAAATGCCTTCTCAGGAATACAACACCGAAGCCGACGCCCAAGCGAACCTCGGAATACACCTAAGGAGTAAGTAGAGTTCTTTTCTTGTCTTTCCTTTCCTTTTGGTTCATAGCAATCTTCCTCTTTGAATTATGAGTCATAATATTTGTCACAGATGGTGAGATTCAAGTGGAATGTGACGTGAAATGAAGTATAGCTTGCTGTTTTGAAGAATCATGGAGTACACTATGATCGATTGCAGCTTCATTTGGTAAAAAAAAAAAAAAAAAAAAAAAGAAAACCTAGTTGAGAAAAATGTATAATTTGCTATAATTTTCTGTTGTATTGTAAAAAGGCTATAAATCATATGCCCGTGTGTATTTTATTTATTAATTTACCCTACAGCCAAAGGGGTTTCTGTTTGCATTTTTTATTTTTATTTTCTTTGTAAAGAAAATCATTTTTCGAAAGAAAAAATGCTTTTAAAAGGGTAAGGGTTTTGATATGATTGTGGAACTGACGATTCTCGGCAGGTCCTGGGACTACGAGTCCATAAGTGATATGTGACGTGGGTGTGTTTACTTAGGTTTTTGGTTTGGCTTCGAATATTAGAACATTAAAATTTTGTGGGTTTACTATTTTGGTTTTTTATTTTGGTTTTGAATATTAAAATTTTGAATTGAAATAGTTATTTGATGTGATATGAATATTGATACTATATTTTGAATAAATTTTAGTATAATAAATAAAAAATATGTATTTAATTTGATATTTTTAGAGAAAAAGAAAAGTTAGAATCGTAAAATTAGATTAAGGAGTTGGCGTGGATTAAAATTGGAGTCGGACTTCGGGAGTCCATATAAATTTTGTTGGTTGTGAATAACAAATACTACTTCCGTCTAGCTTTAAGGGTTCTATTTATTTTTTGTTTGTTGATATTTAAATATTAATTATTATATCAAAACGTAGTATAAATTAAGAAAAATTGCAAAAATATTTTCACGAGTGTCTTATAATACTAATAGAAGAATATTTGTACAAAAAATTATACAAATATAAGAGTATTTTTTATGTTAAGTATAATGACGCAAAAAGTTAATTTGACTCTTATATGCAGAGGGAGTATAAGCTTCAAATAGAAATGAGTTCATTTGAGTCGGAACAACAATGTCTTCGTCCATGTTAATTTCTAAACATTTTTTCCTTATGTTCATTTTTCCTCTTCACATTCTCCATTTATTCCTCTTCGATTCTGTTGTGCTGAGTTTTAATAGAAAAAGAAGATGAATACATAATTGATTGAGCTCCACCTTGACGAGCAAATAATTTGATCAACCAATGCAATCACAATCCAGCCCAATCACTCAGAATTGTCTTGAATATGTACGACCATGTTTCGCAAAATTTGTTAGAATCAAGTGTATAATCTATGTAACAATTAATTGATTCAATATACATAATTTTACCTTGCTATTACATCTAAGTGCGCTGTTTTTCTTCATGATATTAGAGCACAGCTGAGCTACTCCTCAAATGTATGATGCCAATAGCCATATCTTTTCAGCCACATCTAGAACAGATGATGTAGCACAGATTGCTGCCGAAGCAACTGCTAGAATTGTTGCTCAAACCATTGCCAACCAAACACCTATCTTGCCTAAAGCCTTGCTGATTGGAAGTAGAGATCAACCAAATTTGACTTTATCTTATGTTTCTCTCAATGGGACAAACTATTTCAGCTGGAGTCACGAGGTGTGGAACGCCCTTGTTGCCAAAGGCAAGAATGGATTTTTCACAAACAAACAATCGAGACCTCTTGAAATTGATGTCTTAATCAGAGCTTGGCTCATCAACTCCACCATACTTGAGTTACAAGGAGCCTTTATTTTTACCCAGGTGTCAAATCCTTATTTGAGAGCCTAAGAAAAATACAAACAATCAAATGACTATTTCATTTATCAACTCAAAAGGTCTATTGGTTCCTTAAAACAAGGGATGACTTCATTGCCACCTATGTTACCAAATTGCATGAGCTGTGGGAGGAGGAGCTACTCACAATTGATCCACCGCTAAAGTGCACCTGTAAGACAAATAGTAAGATGTTGGAGAGGCAAGAAAGGGATCTTCTGATCCAATTCCTCACTGGATTAAATGAAACGTACGAGGCTGCTAAGAACAAATTCTAATAATGGATCCATTACCAAGTATAAGCAAAGCTTACTTCATAATCATCCAAGTCGAATAGCATAAAGAGATTTATATTGCTGCAAAGCATAATGCATTCCTATAGACAATAAAAGAACACAAAATAAAAGGCTTATTGATAAGAAAATATTGCAGATAGAAAAGAAAAACTCTATTTGTGAACATTGCAAAAAGAAAGGGCACACTAAAAAGACTTGCTTCAAGCTAAATGAAATACCTCTTTGATACAAAGAGATGGTTGACAAGATAATCGACTTTGCCAGCACAACCTCATAAATGAAATAAGTTAGTTCAAAGCCTAATATGGCCTTCAAGAGCTGTCCAGATATGGCCAGCGCCATTATTTGGCATCGGTTACTTCCAACTGACGCTCAATCCTGCACCATTTGGCGTTGCACTGTAGCAACGCCAAAAAATGGTCATTGCCTTTCTATTTTTTTTTTTTAATTTTAATTTTTTTTTCATTTTAATTGTTAAATTTATTTTTTAATTTTCTAGATTTTTTAATAAATTAATTTAAATTATAAATATAAAAAGTTGTTTAAAATAATAGGAAAAATAAAATATTTGAAGAATATTAGTGAAAAATAGAGTTATAGTTTGAGTAAAAATACTGTACCAACTGCATATTTGGAGTTAAAATGTATAAATAGAGTGTATAAGTTGGATATGACCTAAGAGTTCGTTCGTTAAATTAAACAAGTCAAATATGAACGTAAATTTTAACTCGATATGTTCACAAACAAGCTAGAGTTTGTTCGTGAACATTCAACAATACTATTTAAAAAAATAAATTAATATTTTTATAGATAATAAGTATATATTTTTATAAATATAATTAAATGAATTTGAATTTGAAAAAATTAAATAATTTTTTTTTTTTAATAATGAGCCAAGTTGAGCCGAACACGAACTAAAATTTGCTAAATGAGTCGGAGTTCAAACAAAAAATTCAATTCGTATATCTTAACGAACAAACACGAGTCGACATCGAATCCTTAATAAGCCGAACTCAAATATGAAAAGTTCAACTTGCTGAAAATTTACAGTGAAAAATGCTTTTTGTATTAGTCTCCGCCGCAGGAGGAGGTTTATATCTACAAATGAACTCATTCGTAATTTGCCAAATAAACCACATCATAGTTGGTCGGGCAATTTTATTTTGTATGATCCACTTCTTGAGACTTTTAGGATCTGATAGCTCCGTTGTTGTAGGAAGGGCTTGAATAGCACATCAAGCCCAAATATCCGTGCTCCACCTACATTGGAAGAGGTAATGGCGGCGAGTCTAAACGGCGCTCGAACATAGCATACATGTGGAAATATTCCTCAATTTTCAGTGATGTAAAAGATCTCATGTAAGTAGAGCGTCACAACAACAAAGACAAATAAAAAAAAAAAAAACAAAAAAAATCAACTTTCTCAAGTACCTCGAGTGACCGGTCTCGCGGTCAATCAAATATTTCACCAATTCCGTGATCACAATTTAATGTAATACAGGGGAAGGGATTGTCTCAACAGGAATTGTGTGATTTACTCTTTCGCGTTTTAATGTAGTAAATAAAAAATGGGGAATTTTCTTTTATTATCTAATGAAGACAAAATAACAAAGCAATTAAATTAACAGGGAACTAGCTATCAAGGGATGTCTGGCTCAAAGGATGATGCAGTTATGACACTTGTGTTTTATCATTAATTCAATAACGTTAATTCTTATTAAAGTATCAATAAATTAGTTATAGTTATCAATAAACTCTGACAATCAATTTCTCCTTACAGTGTAGGTAATTAAGGTACGACCGTTGACTACTCCTAATTAAGCAAATAAACATAGATGGGCCCATAAGAAATATTGTCTAATCGCATTCTAATATAGAAAAATCCAATTCAAAACAATTACTACCTAAGATAAGCAATTAGATTTAATTTTCTAACCCCCGGGAAGGAACTATGCAACCCGGTTGTCACCTATTTAAGTGCGAATACAATTATAGATATCCTACCTAAATTGACTTTAGATTATCATATTAGTTCAAATATCGGTACCAAAATATTCAATCAATCTAACAATCACAAACTTTATTCTCAAAATTAGACAAATATTGATAAAAAAGAACTTTTATAAAGAAAATTAAGAATCTCCAAAACGAAAGAACCAAAACATTATCACCCTTCAAACCAGAAAAATATCTACTCTATAATCAAATAACAAAGAACAAAAGAGAAAGATAAAATCATAGTGGGAGGGGAAATCTTCTCTGTCGATTTGCTCATGCGCGATCTATGAGTCTGTCAGTCTCCTGCTCTTGTGCGTATCTGCTTCTGGCCGTTCTGTCTTTTTTCTGCACGTGATCCTCCCATTTTATTTAATTTTTGCCCTAATTATTTTGTAGCTGGACTTTTGGGCGTTTAATTAAATTCTCATGTCATGAGGTTATAGTTAGTCATGGCCATGACTAACTAGATGGTGCAAATCTGAATTTTTCTTTACTTTTTCTGCTAATTACACCAAATTTGATATTTGCCCTCTGCACACAACAAATAAATAATATGCATATAAATTAGGTAGATTCCAATCAAGATCAATCAAATATCGCATATAATATAAACATTTAACGCATGCAATTTCTAACTATCAATTCTCCCCACACCTAGATCATGTTTGCCCTCAAGCATAGATTCGAAATAAACCAAAGAAATTGCAGGCAACTCAACATGACAAGAGAATCCAACACAACCAATTCAATCCGAAATCCAACACATCAAGCCAAGTCAACCTCACAAGATAAAGTGTATTCGAACATGCTCTCTGAAGGAATCAAGTGTATAATTGGCTCAACACTCAGGTAGTGCAACAAAAAATTATCATATAGGCTTGAGTAAAAATCAAATCTCCCTTACTTAAATATTCAAATCTAACATAAATAATCAAAGGGACTTTCAATAAGGGTTGTAGTGGGACTTATGGTCAGGGGTAGGAAAACAAGGATAAACAACGGCTAAAAATGTCAGAAAAGAATACAATAAGAACACGATGCTAGCACATGAAGAACAAATCGGCATAAACAATGAAATTCTTACTTTATTCACTACCAA